TGGTCTAGAGAGGAAGCGGAGAGGTGAAAGCGAAGCGAAACCGGTCGGAGAAGGCATGTTAGCCAACTCAACTTAGCCAAGCGTGAATCGATATTTATGGCCGGACAAAAATAAGTTACAGACATGTGATGAGTAAGATAAGAAATACGCACACATATGCTCATATAAAAACAGTGGAGGTTGATAGGAGAATAACTAACAAGGTTAACATGTGACTCAGGAAGAATAACTAAATTGGCCTGTCCGGAAACTAGGATAAGCTACGCGGGCTTAATATAGCAATCGACTCTACACGTGAACAGTTTATGTTGAGGCCGAAGCAAATTTATCTAGTTCATCATTAACTGTGCTGTTATCGGAAAGGAATTTTTATCGTCCCGGGATAACATTTGGGGGTTATATCAGTTGACAATTTACGTTGATACGAAAACCGACAATTTTTGTCAAGCCTCTGTTGAAATACTGAAAGTAAATACTTACCCTACAATAGTAACGCAAGGTCATAAGTTTTATAAGGTTAAATTGGAAATTCACTAGGTATTGAAAGCTGTAAGTGAATCACAAGGAAGTTGTATCTAAGGTCACCATAGAAAAAGACAAATCGTGACTGCAATATATTTGTAATTAATTCAGTACTCAACCAATAGTTATCTCCTGTGTAATAGAAAGCATGTAGTAAGGATTCCTCCCATGTGTCTTATCTGGCAGCATTGCTACTTTCCTTGAAGTTTTCTGCCTGTTTTGCATGTGCTAACTTTTATCCAAGACTTATATGACCATATTCCGATATATCTCAGTATTCTTTGATTAGATATTTACTATTTGACTTCCGTTAAGATTTGCGTTTAATACTCTGTTTTACCGTTATGCGATGACAGACCGTTGACAATAAAGTCTTTTTTAACCGAACGCCAGGTTATCGTGTAGAGCGGTTTCCGATTACTGCTCATTGATCGTTTACTGGAGAAATTTGTTACTTAACATAATTCTTGCAGACAGAATCTTTATCTTATTTTGTTAAAAATATTGTTGTCTCCTCTCAAGCACTGTACAATAGGCTAGTTCGTACTGGATAAACCGTCTGCTGTATGGTAGGCTTGAGGCGCTGTTAGGGTATTTTGTGTTTTTGATATAACTTATAATTACTGTGTAGTGTCACAATCATTGTGTTAAAAATTGTAATTTGGTACTAATATCAAGTAATGTTCTTTTGTGTATGATAGTGTGTCGTTACTTCTGAGAGTACTGAGTATTTAGGACTTTAGATCTTCAGAGACACTCATAGCGTTCACATATATCTTGGATGTGAAGCAAACAAAAAACGATCTGCGATGTAAAGGTGAAGAGGTGAGACGGAGGCTATGAATACAGGATAGCCATGCATTTATATGATTTTGTCAATAAAACTTTTTATCCCGATTTCAGCTTGTGGAAGGTAACACACGTTCTTCGTTTCACTGACTGAAGGATAATTGTTGTTGGCCATAACCAATTCATGCTGATGGCTTTTTTGTATCTCAGAATGAATTTGCACTAATTTAACTCTTTCGATCTATAGATGGTTTGTCTATGACTGAATTAATAATCAAGCCGCTTATATTTGTTTAAAGAAACGATGCCAAGTGAGCACATCTTAGGGTAGTAATGTAAAGTGATCACTGATACACTGCGCTTATTATGGATGAAGCCAACAAACCAATACATTTCAAAAAGACACTCTCCTGCCTGTTCTAATCAGTCAGTCGATCGCCGTCAAACCTATTCTTCAATTACGTGGAATCCATTCTTCAAGATATCTTTGGAGAGGGGTCTGAGTGGAGATAACTTATTGGGTCCTACGAAATTCAGCTGCTAAGTGGATCAAATTCAACTTCATAACCACAGCGTTTAATCATCCGTTGAACGGTAACTGAAACTTGTTTGGAGCTATAAAAAGAATTAGTTGCCTGCTTATTGAAATGTTTCTGAAGAAGAACTATTCCATATGACTGTTCTATATATTATCCCGTGAATATTTGAAATTTCGGAGCAGCGGCCGAAGAAGTCAACTCCTCTATAGACAAAGCAGCTTTCTATGCTGATTCTGTGACTGGTGTAATAGGTGTAGAATTAGCTGTTGCGTTATACATGTTGCGTTGCTAACAGGATGTATTGAGAAAGAGATGACGAAGCAGTTACTAGCTTCATAGTCCACCGGAGACAATGTTTAAGGGTTTCGTATGTTTTATATTCATATTTATTTTAATAGCAACGTTGCTATTACAATTCAGCTGCATCTTGTTACCATTTGTGGCTATTGTATTTTTTACGTAGACTAATAAGCCATACAGGTCAGTGTAAGATTTAATTTGCCCCAAAGATATTTTATTAGAACTGTAAATGCAATACTGGCGACCCCAAAGTCCATGTGAAAGCTATAGTCAGAACAAGGACAACTTGGCTTTAAACTTTACTTATTTCCAAATGTAAAAACAACAATTTGATTAATACAATACTTGAAAGAATTATAGTCATTAAGGGGAAAACACAAACAGTATTGCGTATCTTATCGAAACGAATAAAAATTATGAGTCACACTAATATAATGGATAACAATTTTCTTCAATTGACAGGTCATATGGAACGGAGATAGTCAACAGACACATCAGACCAGAGTGACGTGGTGAGAGCTTTAACACCGGTTTGATTGGTCAGTTATGGACATGACTAACAGGCACCACTCAGGCTTCTTGAAGTTCAGTAAGTCACACCACATTTATTCACATCAGTATAGCTCATATCTGTTTGCTATTCCCTTGAAATCAAAACGACAAAAGCAGTAACGAGAATGGTAGAAAAAATAGGACATGATGCATCTACATTTCAGTAAGTCTGCTCTTTTGAATATTGACGTGTCATCTGTAGACCTTATGGAAATTATCTAGATATGAATAAAACTTCAGGCGACTGATAATAGCAAAAATAACTTGTCCAAGGCTTATAAAGACTTAAAATACCCCTCCTTGTGTCCAAGGAACCCATAACTATATCACTCATGAACAGACACTCATCACGCTCATCTAGCAAAGAGGAAGATGATATCTCCCAGCCTGAGGAGGAATTTAAGTTCAGAGGAGTAGTTCCTAGTCAAGTAACTGTACAGCACTTTGGTTTGAACAAGTGCTCTCCAAGCGAATTTCGAAGCCACTAATATATTGGGGAATCAAGTTCAAAACTTTACGAAGCTTGTTGTAATGTGAAATTGAAACTTCCAAGCATCTTAGTCAAAAAGGCCAGGACCACTGAAAGTTTCATTATGCAGTCTCAACGTTTCGCAAACTAGGTTCATGAACTGTTTTGTCTATGGACTGCGGCACACTGTAACTTAAAAAGAGTTAACGAATAATCAACAAACAAAAAACGCAACATTAACTATTGGAAGTGTAAATGTAGTGGAATAAATGGTGTCACAGACTAACTGAAGGAGTAAATATCATTTCCTCCTCCCAAACGAAGTCACTTAGACTTTCAGTAAATTATTCATAGATTATAACTCTAAGCTTGGTGTAACGGAAAAAGAACAGTGAAAATCCCTCTGCAGCTTCTTTGTTGAACAGTATTTTCATTTATTTGTTCCTTCTCTCTTTTGTGTATTCCAACCTTTGTTTCGACCTCATTTAACCATGTCTTTTGTTCTTCAGTCTTCCCCGTTTGAGCCTTTATTATGTGACTTTGATTAAAGATTTATTTTTGTTACCTAATTTTCTATTGCATGTTGCCGGACCATTGACAGTAAGGTTGTGTTTGACTAAGCTCAAGGTCACGGCGTGGTTCATTTTGTGACTGTTAACCCTCTGACTGTCTGCTTGGGAGAATTGCTGCAATCCCTGCAGATAGATATTTGATCCCATCTTATTGGGAATATTTGTATTGATTCTCAGGTATCAAACCCTTTAGTATTAACTGTCTCTTTCATTGTTTAGCGCGCTACTTAGCGTTAGAGAAACTTCTGACTGTATAGCACAGGCTGTACCGTTTGAGGTATTTTGTATTTTTGATGTAATTTGTTCTGTTTTCTTAATTAGAACCGTTTATATTGAGCACAGAGTTTGTGTTTTGATATAATATAATACGAGTATCTCAAAGACGCGTTGTGAGCTATACAGAGGAACTTGGTCTGGTCTAATCGAATAAATTTTGGGTTCGTCAGTCCGTTGTTCCAACCGAATATTGGCTGTTCGGTCGTTACAGTTCTCAAACGAACAGTAATCTCAAGTGACAAACTCTGGAATGCCTGGAAAGCGCAATAAGGTCAACGAAAACTTGGCATTGGGCCACGGAGAAATGCAATCGGATACACCTCCAGATGTACGGCAAGTCAAATTAGATGCATTTTCATGTCATGGCTCTAATGTTAGTTTATTAAGTAAACGTAGTAAAGTTAGCTCTAGGATTACCTTAGCAGAGTTAAAAGAAAGGCAATTATTAGAAATGAGGGACTTGAAAGATAGACAGAGGAAACAACTACTGTGCTTTCAGAGAGAGTTTGGGTCGTTAAGGCTGAACAAAAGCACGTGTAGCAAATTATCTTCTGTTTCTAACTGTGATGACAGAGAAAAGGAGCACGTTCACAGGTTCGTAAGTCCTTCTCATGACCTTAGGATAAAGTCTCTAGAAAAGCCAAAACTGTTAGATTATCCAGGAACGAAGGAGAAAGTGACCTTGGAATCTCTAAGTGTAGGTCATGAACTTCCAACAGTAGAGCACGATGCCTACTTCGATGAAAGTTACAATATTGTTCCTTTACCTAGAGGAGTGGCTGAGGAAGACATTGCTACCCCTGTTATTGGCAATGAGTCTGGTATGTGTAAAGCTGGCTTCACCAAAAATGATGCTCCCATAGCCGTATTGCTCTCTATTGTTGGAAGAACTAGACATCAAGTGACTGTGGAAATGGATGGAAAGGACAGTCATGTGGGAGACGATGCTCGACCGAAACGTGTTATCCTGACACTGAAGTGCCGAATTGAACATGGTATTGCAACTAAGTGGGGTGATATGGAGAAGATGTGGTACCACACATTCTACAAAGGGTTGCGAGTGGCAACAGAGAAACATCCGGGGTTGTTGAGAGCAGTTTCATTGAACCCGAAGGCAAACCATGAGATGACAAGGATCATGTTTGAGACTTTTAATACACCAGGTACGTGTGCTGCTACTCAAACGGTGTTGTCACTATGTACACTATGTACAACTGGTATAGTGTTGAACTTAGGTGACGGTGTGACCCACACAGTTCCGATTTATGAAGATTATGCGTTGCCTTATACTGTTTTGCGATTGGACTTTGCTGGTAGAGTTCTTGCCGACTTTAGGATGAAGATCCTGACTAAGACAGGTTGCAGTTCCTCTGTCTATTCGTGGAACATACTCAGGCGCAAACCACCGGACATCGTTTTACTCTATAGTAAGTCTAGAGTGGCACCTATAAAACAGGCAACTGTGCCTAGACTGGAACTAACAGCGGCAGTATTGAGTGCTAGAATGGGGGAAGTTTTAAATAAGAACCTTCCTCATGTGTTTGACAAGACTCACTTCTCGATGGATTCTATGATAGCACTGTACTATATAAAAAATACAGATAGTAGGTATTCCACCTTCGTGGCTAATCATCTGGCCGCTATTCGTCATTTAACATCTGTGGACCAGTGGGGGCACGTAGAATCCCATGAAAATCCTGCTGACTGGACATCACGAGGCATACGGAAGGAGCTAGATTTAAAGAACTGGATTGAGGGTCCTTCCTTCTTATGGAAGAAAGAGTCTGTAGGAACACTGACGCTTATGTGCGAAAACCCCCCGGAAAATGTTGAATTTAAAAGATGCCACACGACCAACGCAGTTGCGCTAAAACATAGCTCAAGTCCAATTCTGCTATATCACTCAAATTGGATAAAGCTGATTAAAGCGGTAGCATGGCTCAGAAGATACGTGATCTATGTAACCATCATGTACTCCCATCACGATGACAGGTCCCTAAGTGTGGGCTATCTGTCAGTTGATGAATTGGATGCAGCTAAACACAAGGTATTAGCCTTAGTGCAAAAGGGAGTGTATGGGGAAGCAGTTAAAGTGTCTCGATATAGTGGCGTAAGCGCAACTGTTATAAAAGAGCTAAAAAATCTTTCACCTACGCTAATCGATGGATTGCTTTGTGTCGGCGGACGATTAAATTACTCGGATTATCCACTCTCAATCAGACATCCGGCAATTTCACCCAGTCATCACTTCGTAACAGAACTTATTATTAGACACCATCATCACCTAGAAGGTCACACCGGGACATCACAAGTGTTAGCTACCATACCACGAAATTATTGGATTGTTAAAGGAACCAGTGCAGTTAAACGAGTGATAGGTAGATGTGTGAGGTGTATACGCGCGAAGGCCACATTAGGCCAACAGATGATGGCACCTCTCCCCAAGTGTCGAGTGCAGCAAGGCTGGTTTTGCTTCTCCTCCGTCGGGATAGACTATTTTGGGCCGTTGATAGTGCGTCGGAGAAGAAGTGAGGAAAAAAGATATGGATGCCTATTCACGTGTCTCCAAACACGTGCCGTACATTTGGAAGTAGCTTTCAATTTGAGTACTGATGCTTTTATAATGGCTTTAATACGTTTCATAGGAAGGAGAGGAACTCCTAATGAAATCTATAGCGACAATGGAACTAACTTTGTCGGGGCCACTTCCGAATTACGGGCTAATATGAGTGTGTGGAACAAGCATAGAATAAACGACTTAACAGTATCGAAGGGTATACGCTGGCATTTCAACCCCCCACTAACTAGCCATCGGGGCGGAGTTTGGGAGAGGTTAATACGGTCTGTTCGGGGGATCTTACTATTTATTTCCAACGGGCAAATATTACACGATGATAGTTTGGCAACTTATTTTGTGGAGGTAGAACGAATTTTAAACAACCGCCCAATCGTTCCTGCGACGTCAGATGAAAAGGATGATTTGGTGCTCACGCCAAACACTTTGTTATTACTAAGAGACAGTGATGGTGCGAATGAGAGGTGTAGTAAGAAGAGATGTGCGAAAGCTCTGCCTTCTAGAGGGAGCCGAGTAATTGTGGGTTGTAGCTTAGGTTTATGGATGTACAGGCGTACTGTTGTAAGTCCTGTGCCTCCCATTGATATAGAGCAGTTAGTAAGAAGAGCCATGACAGAAATGTATTCTAAGGTGTCTTTGCGTAGCTGGAGGGATTTTGGGGGCCGGTGTAACGGAAAAAGAACAGTGAAAATCCCTCTGCAGCTTCTTTGTTGAACAGTATTTTCATTTATTTGTTCCTTCTCTCTTTTGTGTATTCCAACCTTTGTTTCGACCTCATTTAACCATGTCTTTTGTTCTTCAGTCTTCCCCGTTTGAGCCTTTATTATGTGACTTTGATTAAAGATTTATTTTTGTTACCTAATTTTCTATTGCATGTTGCCGGACCATTGACAGTAAGGTTGTGTTTGACTAAGCTCAAGGTCACGGCGTGGTTCATTTTGTGACTGTTAACCCTCTGACTGTCTGCTTGGGAGAATTGCTGCAATCCCTGCAGATAGATATTTGATCCCATCTTATTGGGAATATTTGTATTGATTCTCAGGTATCAAACCCTTTAGTATTAACTGTCTCTTTCATTGTTTAGCGCGCTACTTAGCGTTAGAGAAACTTCTGACTGTATAGCACAGGCTGTACCGTTTGAGGTATTTTGTATTTTTGATGTAATTTGTTCTGTTTTCTTAATTAGAACCGTTTATATTGAGCACAGAGTTTGTGTTTTGATATAATATAATACGAGTATCTCAAAGACGCGTTGTGAGCTATACAGAGGAACTTGGTCTGGTCTAATCGAATAAATTTTGGGTTCGTCAGTCCGTTGTTCCAACCGAATATTGGCTGTCCGGTCGTTACACTTGGAATATTAGCATAAAAATCTAATACTTCCAGAGAGATATCAATGTTAGAAAAGGAAGCATGGGAATAGTTTAAACACATGGTCTACAAAGGGTTATCTACTTCAAGTTGATCACTGCACAAGTATTTCTTGATCGCATGGGAGCCATCAAGTGTTTGTTTTCAGAATCATTGAGAACAATCTCAGCGATTGGGCCTTGCACATAGCACCAGGGTTTAGTTTTCCTGTGACAACTCAAGTTAGTGAAGCCTGACTCAGTACTTATAGCCCGGCAAAATAAGCTGAAGATACGTTCTGAATAAGTTAAACAATACATATATATACCTCATATAAGAACAGTTAAGCCAAGTCAAAATGTAACTCGAGAAGAACAAATAAATCGGCCTGTCAGGAAGCCGGAATAACTCATGTGAACTTGACATAGTACTAGACACTTTCGATGAGCGATGGCATGTATCAAGTGGTTATAGAAATACAAGGCTGAACCACTGACTCATGCTCCTGTCCATGGTATGAAACTGATTGTCACGCATTGGTTGTCCTTCACTATGACGAGGATCGGCGATCTCTTTGAAGTTAATTAACTTAACTGCCGGGTGATTTGGCCAAGGCTTATTGAAATTTCACTGGCTTTACAAACTAACTTATCTGACTTACTATTTGATACTGACACGTTCTATCTCTTCGCCTATAAATAACCCCTTGATGCGGACAATATAAAAATTTCAGAGATCTACCTGACGACGACACCTACGAATCTTTATGACAACCTGAATTTTTTGCATGTATATCGTCGGAAATACGACAGAATTAAGGACGAAATAATCACGATCATTCGGGTGAAAAAATAAAATCACAAGAAATCTAGCAGGAAAAAAGAATTTGAGTACAGAACGCTTGTTCATTTTGTACTTAACAAAACTTATAAGGCTACTTTTGTTTTACTGTCTCGATAAAAGTGATCTGTCATTTGTGATTATTCGAAAGTTGCGATGCATTTGTTGGGTGTATATTCTCTCTTTTTTCGCTCCGGAGGTGTGTTCTTGTCTTACCTTGTGTATGGTATTTACCAAGAAAAAATGTGAGCTAGTTGAGTTTCACGTATTTGATAAATTTTGTTAGCACAAAAACCAAGTATGGTCCTGGAATGGAGTTATTTGATTTTTATTTCTCTCTGTTGCTTTTCCAGTGCATAATAAATTTCATATTTTCACGAATAGGTAAATTTACGCCTAACATTCTTTAATGATGTCACTAGCTCTCTGGTTTTGGCCAGAGTTATCAGTTCCTTCCTTGCAGCATAAGTTTGGCATTTGTGGCTTTAGTTATATTACCGCAATGTACACAAGTAACACAAGTCTTAAGTATGTTACTTATCCTACCCAGGTTTGTAATGGTGTTGTTAAAACGTTTGTGTAGGTGATAGGAAAATCCATCAAACCAATTCCTGTGATGCTTCTGAGTGTATTGCTAGCCAAGCGGAGTTATCCTTTGCAGAAATACATTTTTGTGACAATGATTTCGTTCGGTGTAGCATTCTTCATGCTCAGGGGGCATTCAGCAGGAAATTCCGCAAGCGAATTCGGCTTTGGAGAGTGTCTCTTGGTATACTATAGCATTTCTACTTGTTAATTTAATTTTTAAGATATCTTCGTTACTTCTCGATGGTGTTACTGGCGGAGTCCAAGAAGACCTTAGAAAACACAATGTCGGTTCCTACACTCTAATGATGCATATGAACTTTTGGTCTATCATCTATTTAGTTCCAGGTAAAAATTCTTATTCCCTCATATATATTTCACTTTTGACATTTACATAGGACCATCATGTGTCATGCTTTATCGACAAGCAGTTGTTCTGCTTTTAAATAAGTATTGTTAAAAAGTTCACACACCATTGAAAATACTTTTCTTCCTTCCATTTGTTTACAGTTTAACATATCATTAGCACGCAGTTCTAAGTGCACTTTTATTGCAGCAGGTGATTGATAATTTGGCTTGCGCATATGCATTTCAAAGCTCGATGGTCAATTACAACGTAAAAGCTTGTTAAATTTAAGGATAGAGTTTGAATGTAATGTAGCGGCACTAGTTTTTTACGTTGCTAATGAGACATTTATATGCGAGAGTGGCTAAGTCACCAGTGTTATTTGACTCGTCCTCTGTATTTTGATATTTAAATCTACAGGGTGTGGTCAAAAAGGGCCGAAAGTAAACGTAAAGTGTGATTTTTTAATCTGTATGATTTGTATTTCAGTAACGCCTGAATAACTCAGTAAGGTTCAAATTGTTATTTGATTTTTCCCCCTTGAACTTGAAAGGTGTTGATTCTTATAACTCAGTCGATAGCTTGGCTTATAACTTCCACTTGTGCTGATCGATAATTGTTCAGGCAATGTAATTATGTAGAGGACAACAGTTGACTATAATCCAATTATCAGGTTGTGAAGATACAACGATTGAACTTACTAAGCTCTTGTTTAGAAGGAATACTTTTCGTGGTTGGTTTGTCAAATATTTCCCAAAGCAATCTGACGAGTCGTAGTCTAAATCTACCCACTTATCTTGCTCTTTTTCTTTGATAACTTGATACTACATAACTGTTATATTTTCTTATTAATCTCTTAGTCCATTTTTACTCTTATTATTGTGATTTTTCGGAAACCAGCACACTGAACCCATGCAAATTTCCTCCAGTCTCTAAGTTGTTTCAGTCAGTTTTCCGCTATACGCACTAGTTGGATTTCAGAATAGTTTTTCTCTTGTCACCCAATACGTCATTTGTCTCACTTCTAAAAAATACCTAGCATTTCATTTCTCGTTATTTCGCTATATTTTTGTTTGTCGAGTTTGGCTTTAAAATATATCAAAATTACTCCATACACTTCTCTTTTTTAAGTGACTGTGTTCTCTGGAGAAGTTTCGCCGTTTATGGAATTTATCAAACGCCATCCACATATTCTTTATGATATGAGTATTTTTGGCTTGACAAGTGCTGTTGGCCAGGTTAGTTATATTTTCAATAACCAGTTAGGTATTAGAGTATATTTAGCAAGTGCTTTAAGTTTCATACACGTTTATCTTACTTGTCCAAAGTAAAAACGTGATAATATTGCCACCTCAAGATGCCCTAAAGCTTAAATATACGAATGATTGGTATTGTGCATGCTAATAATAAGTCTTTTCAAAGTCTTCTTTGTGAGAGATGGTTAGCTTAAAAACATGTGGTTTAACAGTATTGAAATAAGACTATTGAAATAAGTAAAACAACTGTTTAACTCCTCAGGACCATTCAAGGAGTTGGAGAATCCTGATTGTCTTAATGATGAAGTGAGAATTGGAAAACAACACGAACCATGAAAAAGTGGAAAAAAGAATCTGACAATCAAGCAAGTTCGTTGTTACTGGGTAGTTATTTGGTTAACTTCATCATGATATTCATGTTTATTTCTCCTTTGCACATGTGCTTATATTTAACTTTCATTGTAAGAGTGATCCTTCCGAACCATTTTTGGATAGTTACGACTTCTGTGTATTGGTTAAATAGAACTATGTTTTCGGTTTGTAATACTGCAACACTAAACTTTGAGGATCAAAGAATAAAATTGCTTAACTCTTTGACTATATTTATTTTGATTAGTTGAAGCCCATAAAATAAGTAAAATCAGTATTATCAGAATGGGTTTTGTGGAGAGTTTTAGAAATTTCACAGGTTGAAATCATGAGTCAGTCGGAGCTCGCGCGCGAAGCCAGTAGGTCCTGGGTTCGAGCCCCGCGTGGTGCGGGATCGTGGATGCGCACTGCTGAGAAGTCCCATACCAGGACGAAACGGCCGTCCAGTGCTTCCAGGTTTTCAATGGTGGTCTAGCTTCAACTGACTCATGGTTTCAACCTGTGGAAAATCAGTATTGCCATCTATTCACTGTCATATTTTCTAGTCGAACTTAACATACTAACGTAAGTGAGTTTGTGAGTTATCTCAACTATTGTAACATAAAAGCATGAGTCAAGATCCGCTGCGATAGCTCAAATGAATTCGACTTTTATTGTCCTACAATTCTTTTACACGCTAGATTTTCCTTCCGTAAATTTATTTCCTTTCAACCACGTATTCTCTATGCTATTTAGCTTATCACTTCCATTAGTTTTATTATTTTGACTTTTGTTGATGTTAGTCGTATTGATTTCTTCACAGTGTGCATATATACAGTAAAGTACATTTTTGCCACATTTTACATTGTTTCTGACTATGTCATTAAAATTTACCTAGTCAGAGTCCGCGCAGTAACTATGATCAGCAGCTGGAGACGTTTAGTGATATGGCTTTGAATCAGCCACAATAACATCACAGATGTATTTGTTTTCTCTTGGATCTTAATTTTTAAGATTGCCTAACCCTTTTTATTTCATAGATTCATACTTTTTTCTCCGATAATATTGTGTATGCGTAATCTTTTATACTCCCACTCATGCTACTAATAATTCTACTACTTTGACATTCGCCTTGGTTATTTCATCTAGTTGTGCTGGTTTTATGTTATAACTTGAACCGACGTATGTATGTGCAAGGTTCCACGTTGCTTATAACTGACATGCTGTTTTGGTTTATTTGTTGTATTGACAGTTGTCGAGTGTCTTATAGTCCACCTATTAAAGTTTTAGGAAAATGATATAAATACACTGAATAAAACAAAGTTTTGTTGCTTGTTAATCATGATTCGTTTATATTAGACAGACATATGCCATCTTGAATCGTGTTCTTGATTTATAATATGTTTTTGCCCTTTTATCTTACTTTTCTTCTCCCTCCATGTCATCAGATATTTCTATTTGGTTTGATCACAAACTTCAGCCCATTAACTTGTTCAATTGTGACTACAACAAGAAAATTTTTCACAGTTCTCTTCTCAATTATTGTCTTTGGTCATAGTATGACAACATGCCAGTGGATAGGGACGGTATTAATATTTTCTGGCTTATTACTTGATCAGATCTATGGTAAAACACGTCCTAAACGGTCGTCCAACAACACAAATAACATCAATGGGACAGTGAATTCAGTTAAGAGTCATAGAGAATTAGGAAAGAAAAGTGAATAATATGTTGCTTATGCAAAAATATCAGAATGTAACAAATATATGATTTTTCTTTTTATATTGAATCCAATTTAATTGTTATGTCTTCTTGTTATATATTTTTTACTTTTGAAATCCTAACTGAATCTACGATACATTCGGTCACTATTAGGAATGGGTTCAGTTAGTGAATAATATGATATTTAAAATTAATGATCACCAGGGAGGACTAAGGAGAGACATTAGTATTTGTTTTGAAGCACTTTCATGAGATTAAATCATATACTTAAGCATATTTTGACACAGGTAGATTACACATTTTCATCATTCATCACTAAAAAGAGTCAATAGATATATGTTGCTTCTTTTGGAGCATATAAATGAACTTCACTCACGTTCTAATACGACTAGGTGCTTGTCTACCCTAGCCTGACAATGAGACTGCAAAATATATCTTTGGAGAGCTGGGTAGGCACTTAGTCGACCATGAAGAGAACGTTCATTCCTATGTAGCCTGGGATAATCTGCAGCCTGCTGCAAAACTGGCAGTGAGCTCTGCTAGTAATGTTTAACAATGGACAGTGGTTTTCAAAAGTCTTTAGCAAATTGATTGATACGTGGAAATTCATTACTAGAAGGTTCGAACGCAATAAAAAACGAAAGAGACGTAAATGCAAATCAATAAGAAGGTTAAGCATACGTCGTGCGCAGTGGGAGGCAAAAAAAAGTAAAAAAATGGAATATGAAATGACGATGGATAACACAAGTCAACTGTTGAGATTATTCGGTCAAAAAGTCAGCTACTAGTGAAAATCCCTGAAGAAACAAAATTATAGTCTAGTCTTGGATCACATGACTAAAGCGATTGAAGGGATAGTTTATAGAACTGTCAAAATGGTCTAATTGTTCACTACCCATCAAAAGTCTAAATGAAAGACGTACATTGGGTTTCTAAGCCCATACAAGGTTAAAGAGGCCATAGCTAACCTGAGATGAGCAGATACAAGCCAGGTCCTTATGGTTTAGCCCTGGAAATATTTAGGGTCCTTAATGGTCTGACTGGTAAAATAGCTAGTTTGTTATATAGAAATAATTCTATCAGATTAGTCTCGATCCGTGATTGACAAACTTGCTCTTTTATCTACATAGATGTTTCGAACAGCCGAAACCTAAATGGGACAATTTCATTGTCTGTGTACTGATCCAACAAATTGTAGATGAGCACTTAATCTATGTTTTGCTATTTCTTCCCACCATTTTACGTTTTTTTGTAAAGTATAGATGTTTTATGAATAATTCTTTATGCTACTTAGTTATGTCTACTAGCTATTTTGGATCAGTAGTATAAAAACAGATGATTTAATAACTAGCTTTGGCGTGTACTACTGATGTCGGCAGTTATAAGTAGTATGTATCATCAATCGAAAATTAAATGCCTGGCATCAGAAGGTTGAGATCGAAGAAAAGTGAATAAGAACAGAGAATGATTGGTGTGGAAGCGAAAGAACAACGAAGTCTGTGACAATTGATGAACATTTTGCAAATGAAGTATTTACTGTATAGTTCTCAGATTTTACTGAGACGTTCTGTAATTTTGCATTCACATACATTCGATTGTCCCCACTTGTGTTCTTGTTCAGTACATAGCCACAATAAAATTAGAAGAATTAGAACTTTCAGACTACTGTAAAATGGAAGAATATCAAGTACGCTATGCTACTCTTTATCTAACGTTGAAAGGTATTTACCGACCGTTTATATTTGCCGAATTATCTTCTCTGTTTAAAAAATGAAGAATAACAGAGGTTATGGTGTTTAGCTCTCATTATTGCAAAAGGAAATTTATTCTTAAAAAATATTACCTCATTAAAACGTAGAGTATTTGAATAGGTATATTTATGCAAATTCATACATGTTTAAGAACGAAAGGGGTAGAGGTAAGCGGTTAAATTCTTGCCATGCTTTTTCTTTAGTTTCTCCTAATTTATCATCCTAATATCGCAGTAAGTTTATCTCATACTAGCCGTACTGACAATACTTTATTTACATCATTCTGTACTTTATGCAAGCTACTAAGTAGTGATAGTTGGGAATTATTTAATCTGTTTATCGTTGTTTTTGAAATGAAGATAAAACATCACTAGTGATTTTCTCGACAACAGCCATAACTGGCCGATGTCATTTTGGAAGTTGAGTCTTGCGCAAAATTCGGAAAAAGAACCAGGCATTTGTATACAAAATAGTACTATTACTAAAAGCAATATATTGTCCACTAATCTCAATTCCAGAGGTGTCTGGGAAATAAAATCAAAATCAGAGGAGAGGTATTTCCCACAGAATTTTTGTAAGAATAATTTACGAAAATTATACGGCAAACTAAATGCCTGGTCGTAATCATATCAATATCAGACAACAAATTGAAACAAAGCTATGTACACAATATATAGAGACTGTTATGTATAAGGAAATGTTCAGTGAACCTGAAAAGTGAGCCCAACCGTTAGGGATTTTAAGTTAATGTAATTGAGTTAAGTGTCACAAACTTATAAATGCTGAGAACTATCACACATTACTCTGAAGAGACATATTAGTCATACTTTCGAAAATGACAGACAACGAAATGAACTGCTGGATATCAGTAAGTAGTATAGTTATTATATGAAAAGCACTAAAGCGCGGATAAGAATCGCTAGGTATAGTTAATGTTATATGTTTTCATAAAGCAATACTTGGCAAAATATCTAACTGTCCAATATCTCACAGGTACTGAGAGTAGCCTGTATGTAGTAGAACCGGGTTTATGGAAAGCACTACTAGTTTCTATCATTAGCAAACGTTTCCATAATAAATGGTTCTCGTCTACTTTAGCATAATATGAAGAAAAAGTGTAAGATATAATAAATAATCTATTGACATGGCTTCCTCTAATTGTTGCTTGTTTAGTTATATCAATTCAGTATTTAATCCACGTACGTTGACTTTCTGCACTCAAATTTTTCCCAATCAGTTCCATCAATCATGATTCCAAAGTTAGAAACATTGTCCTTCGGTTCTTATTGTCTTGTAAATCTGATATATAATGGCGAATACTGTTGGTCACCTTGTAAATATATATATATATATATATATATATATATATATATATATATATAAAGTGACTTCGCTCGGATTTGCAATTGATATGGAAGTGTGGAATACAACCGGAGACATACATATTATTGGGTGTGTTATGTCTTACAACCAACCAGTATGTGTAGACTACCTAAAGAAACCAACACGCAGCAAGGACCAGGAAAACTGATACTCTGTCTAAAGGTTGGTTCAGTACTAAATAGTCCCGAACGAAGAGGAAGAAGTGAAGATCAATGTCCACCATTCCAGGCTAGTTATTATATTTCAGACATTCATTTATATTACCTACAAGACTAGACCACGTAGCAGACCAATCGGGTAACAGTATTAACACAGAACAACGACACTAACGATAGGAAAACGGAATACTAGGTACACAATTAATCGGTCCTAGTTTATGCTTGGGAAATGCTATGACAACAAATTACGGTTCAAGTAAAAGCTTAGAAAATAATAAAACCGAAATACTGAATAAACATCCAATCACTAAGTGTAAGCAAAATCGTAGGAAAATAGCTTCGAAATTTTTTACCTCAAAGATAAATCGTTCCATACCATACCTCCTTTTTTTTTAAAACATCATTGATAAAAGCTGTCATTAGAGTTTATTCAAATCTGTTGTGATTTTAAGGACGGTTCTGTTCTTCACCCACTGTTCTTGTTTATCGATCAACCAACATATTCAGAGGCATATGGATTTTCGTATTGATTTCGTCTCTTTCTTCACATCTGGATGGTCGTATGTGGTTGCTGCACCTTATCTATTTCATATTACCAACTCTGAATTCATAGATAACTTTCTCTCTACTGCATAGGATAATTCCATGTACTCACTCCGTTTACGGACGATGGGAATCAAATACCATTTTTCCATTTTCGTGTTCCACTCAGTAGTCGTCATAATATGTGGCCTCAAACTGTCCAGTAGTGTTTTATTTTTTTCTTCCAAACATAGCTCCTACCGGTGTAAACTCATCAGTCGTTACGGTATTCGGTGTCTCACGGTGCACTAGCAAGAACTATAATATTTCCTCAAACCTCCCTTCCCCTTGGTTTTTTTCAATCCTCTTATGAGTGTCTATCAAATTCTGCATTTTATTGCGAATGGCATGGGAGATTCTTGACATGTTAAATGTCGTTCAGAACACAGAAACGATGGAGTTCCATAGGCAAATTGAACGCGAGAAAAAAAAAGAGAAATGTGGTACGAACGCTTCACTCCAAGGTTAGTTTATGTATTAAAAGTCGAGGATATTTATAGTATTTCAGCTGGCATTGAACTTCTAGAAGTTTCTGGAACCACACCAAACATAGTAACAGGATAGGTAATCATCCTGTTAGAATTTTGACATGTGAATCTTCACTTTTTAGATGTTTCCGAGAAACTTCTGTTCAGCGCTGATTGGATCAAACGTTTCCCAGCGTCTTTAGGATCCTTCTCGACATTTTTTGAGGAATACTCTGGATCTCCTCAAGACGTTTCTTCTCTCAAAACATAAGACTTCTTTGGGTCCACTTCCAGCTTGATAACCGACTTCCGGTGGCGTTTCGTTTTTCATGATGTCTTCCCAACTTTCATCCTTGGGCTTGGAGTAGTTTATTATGCTATTCAGAATTTTGTGGTTACCTGACTTGTTGTCCCCTCATCTCTCGTTTCCAGTAATGCTCTTCTGAAGGTGTCGACAAAGCGTTGTGCCTGTCCATTGGGTTTAGGGTGATAGGGTGGTGAGCAAAGACATGTTATTCCACTCATATTATACAAGGGCTTGAGTGACTCCTAAATGAAATTTGGGCTGTCATCGGCCATTAAAGTCTCTGCAAGTCCGAAACAGCCGAAAAAATCAGATAACTTGCCGATTGTTTCATCTGCTGTGCAATTTAATATAGCATATATTTCTGGACATTTCGTGAATGCATCCAAAATGACCAAAACGTTTCCCCTAGTGCTGGGTTCGAAAAATCTTCAAGGAGCCCCTTCTAGGAACTTCAAGGCCTTTTTAATTGTTTTAGTTCATATTTCTTTGCATTTTTGGCTTTTTAGTGGCACGGCAAAAAATTGTAGCATCTAATTTCTATATCGTGATCCATTGTAGGCCAAAGTGTATGGCTTCGAGCCAACGATTTCATCCCGTTGATGCCAGGATGGCCGCTGTGGGCTTATTTTAAAAACTCTTGGCGTAATGTTTTTGTGACACTGGTTCCGTCATCAAACATAATACATGAGTCAAAGATCATAAGTGAGTCACGCCGGTGAAAATATTTTTTCCTGAAAACGACTGTTTAGCCATTTGGTTAGAAAATAACCCCTAATTTCTCTTAATATCTCGTCATCTTCCGTAGCTCCTTTGATTACTTCTAAGGCAACATTCCAGAATCTCGACGTGCAGCTTCCCCACTGAGCAAATGCCAAGAACTACTGCATGTAGATAGGGTGATTGTAATGAAAATTTCGTTCATACTAAAAACTGGGGTATTTGACTCTGGTTAGAATAAGACTCCTTGCGACTTGGAGGGTTCAAGTGTTCTAGTGTTCAAGTTATTCACGTTATAGCAAAAAATTAAGATCCAGATATAACACTACCCCCAGGATTTTAAGTTAGCGCCTTCCACCTGATGCAGTTTGATGATTTCCTCAATGTGTGTCCTATCCAACTCCAACATCTTTTTCTAATTTCGTCTTCAGGTGGAAGCTGGTTCGTTCTTTCCCACAGTAGGCTGTTGCTGATGGTATCCGATCAATGGATATTCAGTATCTTATGTAAACAATTGTTTATAAATACTTGTACTTTTCTGATGATGGCTGTAGTAGTTCTTCAAGCTTCAGCTCCGTACAGTAGGACTGTCGACGTACAAATTGAAGAATCTTTAATATTGGCTGATAGCCGTTCTGAGTTCCATACGTAGAAAGTAGTTTCCTACAGGTGAAATTCTAAACTATTCTCTAGACTGTCGAGCACATAGTCTTAGCTTAGCCAAAGTCAGAACAAGTAAGCTATTTGGCTTGATAAACTTTTTCTGTTTCTAAAACGTAAATTACCGCTGTTAATATACAAAACAAGCAATACAGTCTATTAAACAGGAAAAAGGAGAGACATAAATAACATACCGAACAGTAACTAGAGGATAAGAAAAATGAGTCAACAAAGCGAATATTGTTTTATGATGAACATGAATTTGTGATTGATGAATAAGCAAGGCAGTCATACAAGGTTAAAGAAAGTTAGTGTGGTGGTGGGTGTTTCATGTTATCGTTGATGGGTTCGTTTATCGACCCCACTTTACACTCCCCTCGAGACGCACTCTACGTCCGTCGTCCTGGGTCGTCAGATAACTGGCTTCTTTCAGTAGGCATAGACTTCGTACATCCCGAACGTTTTCTTAGTTTGCCGTTCTCAACTTCGCTGTACGAACTTATCTGTCAGGACCATAGCTTACCTGTTCGACAATGGCTTTAGGCAATAGACTTCTACTTGCTTCAATGTTACTAACGAGAACTAGGTCGCCTGGTTGTAAATTCTTGCGTACGTTCAACCATTTATCTTTTGCTTGGAGGGTAGGCAAATATTCTCTTGTCTATTTATTCCAAAATGCGGTACCTAACCGCTGAGCTTCCCATCTTTTATTGTCTAATAAAGTCCTATCCGCCGAAACATTGTCGAAGGATGATCCTTTATAAATCAATAACAATTTATTCGGAGTAAGAGCCTCTATGGTGCCAGGATCATCCGCCATTTTAACTAATGGTCTGTTATTTAATATCCTTTTGGCCTCGGTCAAGAACGTTTTCAAAGTTTCGTCGGTCAGCACATTCTGAAATAAAAGCACTCTTAAAATTCTAGTTAGGTTTCCATAAAACTCATGAACTTCGAAACATAATCCGTCTGTTCGGACTTTCCATTTTATTTCCAGCATTCGTTCAGAACTATAGTTCTGATAATCTTCGTCTTCTTATCACACGATAGCACAATTGTTTTTTGCTTTGGCGTGAAGCTCATTTTCATCAATGATTCGAACTTAGAAAAAGCATAAATGCTTGCCAACCTACTATGGAAGTTTCTCGATATCCTTTTACTCTCAAATTATTAGCCTATATCTGTGTGATTTCTTGTAAATCAATTCTTTTAAATGAATGCAAGGCACTTAAGTTTAGTTCAAAAAAGTTAATCAGCATCCATGTAAGATTTTTCTTTACAGAACTGAATATTCGTGGAGAACTTTGATATTCAATCCAATTGTCGAGTTTCTGTAGAAGAACAGAGATTGAAATCGACGTTAAAACGTGTGTCAGGAGCTTATGATCTGTAAAGATGAGGGAATTTCTGCTTTGAATAAAGTAATGCGGCTAAACAAACAGTCAAGAGGTGTCTGTCTAATACATTGGATTTAGCTTAAGAAGGATTTAATTTCTAGGAGAATTACGTCTTAAACTGAATTCGTATAGCACTATAGATGGATATATGACTATAAATATTATTATCGCCAGGGTTCTCGGAAACTTTTAAATTACATGGTTTATATAATAAAAATCAAGTAGCACTGGATAGCTATTTCGTCCTGGTATATGAATACTCAACAGTGAATATCCACGACCTCACCTTTAATTGTACCTAAGATCATCAAGCCTCTTGATGAATGCCTGTTGTCAGACTATTGAGTTGGCAGGGATTACATGAAATGCTTCAACCGATTAGTGATAATTTGCAATAATTCTCTAATACCAATGGCGAGTAACTGCTTTACAAACCTTCTATTGTCATATATTATATTTGCAAGACTTTGTCGTCATTATTATTTTGATATATCAACTTAGTTTATCTTGAGTAAATTGCGATTTCTATTTGTTTTATATATATATATATATATATATGTTTGGCCGGAAAAAATAATGACTGGTCATTAACCTAGTCAGCCTAGTAGATAGTCTGTCAGGTATTAGATGTGTTATATATTTTCCTATCCTCATCATTATTGTCATTGTTGTCGGTGGTTGATGTAGAAAAATACTCCCATTCTGTTCGGGCCAATCACGTGTTCTTGACCCGAGTTGTGTTGAAGTCCTATAGAATAGACATTAGCAGGGTATCTAGTGTAGATATTCTTTTAAGGCAAATTAGTGTTTCGTTGATGTAAAAAGGAGAACCAAGCGTTAGTATTGCAAATAATTAAGGTATTTTCGTCAATAATCTGTGGTTTGTTATGATCTTCTACATGGTTTTTCCAGATGCTTTAGATGTAACTTTTCATAACCATTTTATTAAGTCAATTAAAATGAACAGTTAGAACATGAAATGATGTCATATAGGATGTTTGTAATTTGCAAAAATTTCAGTTGAATACAAATAACGAGATGCTATGATACATCACTAGTAAATTATAAACAGTTTGGACTGTACATTAAGTCAACTATTATTTATTTACAAGGAATGACTTCGCTAACTGAGGTTTTCACTCAAAGCTATTTGTATATATCAAAAACTAATAGTTTGTCGAACTTAATCAACTCCCAAATCAAAATTTTCAGTTTAAATACTCTAAACTGGGATATTGTTATGTCCCGATAAGAATAGTGAATGATAACTTATCGGATCCATTTATGGACTAATACTATACGTATGTTTTTTATCTTATAATTGTTAACTAACTAAACTATTTATGTTCGTGTTCCTCTTATCATAAGCTTTATTTTGACCTATGAACTATTAATATACGTTTTATCATTCTTGAATTGTGCCCTATTTATTATTCACTACCTCCGACATTCACAGCCACTTTGGGTTAAATCTTGTACAAATGTTGTTTCCTATTCTATGGTGTGATGTGGTCTGTTTGATTGGTATATAAACTCAGTATGTTTGAAATAAATGATTCATATCACAGAGGCTCAGATTGATGTTCTGAACTTAACTGGTTGGGCTAGACAGGAAGCAGGACCGATAAGTACTCTAGACTGCTCGTACAGGTTTTATGAGTCATTGGTTCAATCGATAATTCACTGTTCTCTAATTAGTGGTATCATCACGTTATACATTAACAGAGCGCACAGACTACAAGTTATAACATATCTAAACTGGTATTTTATAAATTACTAATATTTAGTCAATAATTTTTAAAATTTTAATTCTAAGTTGGTTATAAGAGTATTCAAGATGTATTTCTGGTAAATATCAATTCTTCAAAGTAGAAGGTCCGTTGATACATCTATTTCTTGCATATTGTTTCTTCAAAACACATCACAAAAATAATGACCTGGAGATTCAACTTCAAAATGATTTATTTCATTTATAAAATATTTGAGCATTGTGGCAACAGCATTTAAAAAAAACGAACTATTTCTTCAACTGAATCAAAATGTCAGTCCATTCATGTTATCTTCAAAATCAATTGATTGAAATGGAGAAGAAAACTGTATTAAATTTTAATTTCCTTGTTAGATTATATTTATATTTGAAAAAGATAAACAAATACATTACCACCAATATGGTTACAAAATTGAAGACACATTTAAACCAATATTTTAATACACATAATTTCTACATTCATTTAAAGAATACATTTTTCTTCATGATTCATTTTGGAATCAACTGGACATTGGTATACGTCGGAGAATTCTTGACTGTGTTTCAGAACGTCATTAACACTGGTAAAGAGATATATTGGAGTGAAATATATTGTCATTAGTAGGTCAAGTGATGGACTATCATAATCTTTCATGCATAAAAGTAATAAGATGTTGATTTTATTTATTGGAACAGATTAAATGCAAATATTGTAAACTTAATATTTCTATTCGCCTCAACTGACACTGAAAAGAACATAACTACATTAGTAAAAATGAGGTTATGGTGAGTGGAGATTTGAGATATCTGCTAAAACAAATGAGAAATATGTTACAAGCTGAAATATTAAGCAGTACATTAAATAAACCACATTGAGTGATGTGTACCCATATGTTCGAATATAAAACGACGATAACTAGACGAAATTATTTTTTTAAATGTGTAGTGTCAATCATTTGAAAAAATTCATCAATCCTTAATTCCAGTATCTACGGCGTTCAAACTCATTTTTCATTCGTCCCATGGGTTATATCTAGTATGTCTGGTAACAAATCTGGTTCTAATTATCTGCCAGACATGATTTGTTAAAACTATGGAATTTAATAGTTTCCAAATTCATTTTCTAATAAGAGTGATTGAGGAATTTGTGATTCCAGTGGTCATGAATAAAAATTTTTCAGGCTTTCAGACTCTTGTTAAAGTCTCTAAATCATGCTACATATAATCGAGCGATTAGACTAATGTTATCCAATTAATATTATATCTCATACTTATTTCACTTTCGGTCGTAAGTTGACGTTTACTAATGCTAGTGATTAGATTATGTAACAGCAGTTTTAAACTTCGTCAAATGTTTCACTAATTTCTCGTCAACCTTGGTACAAACTTGTTCAGCCAAGTATTCACTCTGTCAATGATTATATTATAGACACCCTTGCAGTTTAATCATAAGAGTTTTTCAATTCACTAATGTGATTATTGACTTTAAATGCTACGTTTCATAGTAATTCACTAAATCATATTGGTAATCAAGTGTCGTTTTCATTCACAAGGGATTTCAACCAACTATTTACAAGCGATTAACTTGTATCTCAAACATCCATTGATGAAAGGAGAACATTTATACGAGACAAAAGACATAGATATCGCTAAAAGTCTTCAGCATCATAAAAATAATCACAACACACACTCCTTTCATGTTAACCAATCTTAAGGGCAGCTGGGAAAATTAAACTTTCGGGAGCGTTATAAAAGGAGTCGCTCATCTGAATCAAAACATCCCCTGAAAACAGTATATCTCCCAAAAGAGACGTGGTTGTGTACTATAAACTTGTCATGTAAATTCAAAAAGGACGATCCATTGTTAGAGGGATAAATGATATTTTTAGCGAATACAAACATATCACGTTCCTGTACACACTTGCTGGTCCAGAAACAAATGGCAAGTGATAGGTGTTGAGCCAGGTGCACTGTTCGCTGACAAAGTTTGCTGAGATTTGGAAGGTTCTGGCTTAAATATCCGGAGGACAGTTATATATATATATATATTCCAGTCGGAGGACATCTGACAGACCCGTTCTAAGTAAAGACCAGTGTCAGGCAAGGTTGCTTGCTCTCACTCTTTCTCTTCCTCCTGGTGATCGACTGGATCATGAGGACGTCAACATCTATGGAGAGGGAAACATGGGATACAGTGGACAGCTAGGATGCAGCTGGACGATCTAGACTTCGCAGATGATCTGGTTCTTCTATCGCACACGCAAAAACTTATTACTGAAAATCACTATGTGAGGGGATGGTAATAATGATTAATTATTGTCAGAAGAATATATCATATTATTCTGCTCATGTTAGTTTTTTTGTTTACATCATAACTACTGAGGAGATGTTGAGTAGTGGGTAGTACTCTTGTCAAACTAATTTGTAACCACTATTCTGAAAACATATAGCAAGTATAATTTAGTTTTTAATAAACTGATTAAAATTACAAATGTGTTACCTGAATGTATATTTGAGCTTGGACGATTTGAACTTGTTATTATTCGTATCATTAAAGTAGCCACCACACATCATCTTCAGTTATTTGAAAAAAGTGATAATAAAGCGAATAATTAGTGTATCAAAATGTTAACTGAATAAATGTAATACATGATCGTTTTATTATATTCTTAGATTAGAAGAAATTAACAGAAATATTAGGAAGAAGCTTCAAACTGTGTTGTTTTACTGAACAAAATAGATGACAGAAGGAAAAGAAAAGATACTGAAATGTTATGTAATTAATGTCATTATTCAATATTATATGTTTGGTACCATATAAAATTTTTAGGAAAAAGTATTTCAACACGTTTCTTTTACAATGGAGAACAAACCGACCACTGCATACATATATACATAAGATCAGTGAATAAACCATCTGGAATTAAATGTAGTGTTTTAAAAAAAATATAATAATAATAAAATAACTTAATTAGCAACATTTTTAAGGGTACAAGTTTTTGGTTAGGTCAGTTATTACAACTTGTTCGTCGCATAGTATATATGCCAGATGCGGTATTGTAGATCTTTAATACATTTAATTTGGTGTATGGATATACAAGATATACAAGGGGAAAGATGTGATTGAAGTGAATGGTTTATATCTGATAGGATAATACCTGCCAGGAGTTTGCATGATTTTAAATGTTTGTCCATAACCATATTCATAATGACTTTAAAAGACTCACTACATATCCTAATAATTTCCTTTGGCACTCCGAAACACAGAGAAATGTTTTTTTTTTAAAGCCCGAGAAAGAATAATAAGGAACAGTAAAAAATAATAGATTATATGTATGAATTTACGAATCGTAAAAGTAAGTCTTGAGCAATGCCAAAAGCATATAACCTGTTTATACAGTAAATCAAAGAGAAAACTTTCTTCGATACCAATAAAACATAAGAAGACCAAGAGAGAACAGAGGAAAGAGTTATGCCAAGACAAGTGGCCATTTGACGCTGTTTATAGTACAGAATCTCTAACAGTACAAACTTTATGAGATTCCAACAGAGAGTTTAAGTGCTGTTTATGTCTTCGGCTAAAATTAACAATTTGACATTTAGAAGAGTGAAGTGAGAGACCATTAACAATAGACCATCGTTTAGTGGGCAACAAGAACTCATTCAACTCAAGATGTGAAGAGGCAGAAATCAATGTGCATATAGTGAGATCATTCGCATACTCAACGAAAGGGTTTTTTGTAGAAGATAGTAGATCATGCAGAAAAAATATGAAAAGAAGAGAGGACACAACAGTCCCTTGTGACGCACTATAAGACAGTAGAGAAATCGAACACTGTCCTTCAAGAACAGTATACTTTTCTATTCCAGTGGGTAAGAACTCAGTCTATTGGTTATCCAGCTGTTGGCGTTGACGTCTGGAGACTCGTCTAGTATTAGTGGTTTCAGAATAGAATCAAACATAGAATAGTACTCTGGAAATGCTCATCTAACATACCTTTTGCCCTTTTCAGAGCTGAACACTATATTATGATGTAGAACACAGCATTTAAGGTGCTACTTTTGCATTTGTAAGCAAACCGATACTGAATAATTTACTCTTTTATTGCAGGTTTAATTGGGAGTAGTAATAGTTTTTCCATTTTTCTGAGAAAAGGTGAATTTATTGCTATGTGTCTAAAATTCACATTCTTATCGCTAGATAATTTCTTAGGTAGTGGGATTATCTTTATCTTTCTCCACATTTTCAGTATGAGCTTAGTTGAGAAGGATCTGTTAAAGATGCTCGTTAATGAATAAAACAGAACGTCAGCATAGTTCTTAAAAATGAGGTTCGGGATTTAATCAGGTCTTGCACATTTGGACGAGTTAAGTGACAGATGTTTTTGGACATCAGTTTCTGTGGGAATTGAAGCACAACTATTCTTCAAACCTGTGGATATAGGAAGCATAACATCAGATGTCTGACTTACAAAAGAAATATTTAAGTCACAAACATTGAGCCAGTTATCACTTCTAATGTACCTGTCACTTGTGATTTCTTTAAATGATTCCCACATACTTGAAGAGTTTTATAAGATAGGAGTTTCTGAGTAAACATTAGTTTCAGGGGTCTGGTCTCTAGGTTTATTAGATCATTTAGTTTTCGAACTTCAATGGAGTTTTTCTCCTCGTACATTCTTTCTCTCAACCTAGTTTGTCGTACAAAAATGTTTTTCTCAGATCTTAAATATTTTCTTTTGAATAATTCTTGCATTTAACTTTCTTTTTCTGATCTAAGAGCGTACTCTTCTCGAGTTTGCCACACACTTTAGCTAGAGCACGAGTAATGCAATAATCAGAATTAAGTGATGGAGTGGGTTCGCGAGTCACATATATTCCCAAATCATTAATGTGAACAGTCTAAATACACATCTAAACGTGAAAGGATATCGACTACATTTTGGTGACCTAATGATGAAAGAAAGCTACAATCACATGTATTAAAATCACCACGTATAGTTTAAAGCGAAGGATTGAAGGTAGCAACAGTCATTTTAGTGAATTCGTCAATGAAAACAGATAGTGCAGATGAAGTACAGTGAGGAATCACGTATATTTTGGTAACATAAGCATAGCTGTACTTGTTCATGTGTTTTGAATGGCATCTTTTAAGGTTTAACAACTGATGCGGTTATGCAAAACTAGATGAACACCAGTTCATACAGATGTAGATACATCGCCTCCACAATTTTCCTTATTTATTGATCTATTCTAGTGATAAATATTGGAACCATGTAGTTATCCTAAACAATCGTTGTGTAAATGATTCAACCAGGATTCTTAAATTGTGGTTATACCACAATTACGATATATGTTTAGACTTAGTAGGAACTCAAGATAGTCCACCTTGTTGATGAATAATCGGCGGTTGGAAGTTAGCAGTTCAGTAATCAACATGTGATCAGCACTCATTCTTTTCAATGTAGATTGCCAGCTATCTCTGTCTGTGATAATAGATTTTTGTACCTTGTAAAGGAGTAGGTCGTAAAAGTTTATATATGAGCCTGAGTAGGTTGTACGATTAATGGACATAATTGGTGCGTTAAAACAAAAATAAGATAACTTGTTAATATATATATATATATATATATATATAAATGATAGGAGGAACAGGTAGCCCAGATATTCAAGTCGACAGCCGTAAGAGACAATGAAATGAGCAGTAAAATTCTAGTAAAAGTAGTGTATTGTTAATTGTAAGAATTTCAATCGATTTTAGACTTAGTCAAATCTTGTTCATATGACTTTTTCCTATTCCAACTTTATTCATTCCTATTTTGTCAACTTAGTATAGTTTACTAATAAACCTCAACATCAGAACTTTATTCTTAAAACAATAACTGTTGTTAGCCAGTCGAAAATGTTTGAGGTGGAGTAGGATTTAACGATACTTGACTACCAGTATTCAACTAATATATTTTTCTATTTTGATGAGAGGAAGTTGACCTTTCATTATGATTTAATGATTTTAACCTCAGAGATTGGATACTAATATTTAAATGAAGATCCCTTTTTTCATTCTACAATGAAACATTAACCTTCATCATAACTTACAACTTATATTGTGGTGTTTGCTACTGACGTTGATAGATATAAGTAATATAAATCATTAATCAAAAGTGAAATGCCTGGCAACAGAAGGTTAAGAAGATTGAAAAAAGAGGACCAGGATAGAGAATGATTGTTGTGGAAATGAAGGAACAGTGAAGTATGGAACGATTGATTGACATTTGCAAAAAGAACAATCAAAGTTTGAGACAACTGATTGACATTTTGCAAATTAAGTACTTACTGTATGGTTCTCAGATTTTACTAAGATGTTCTGTAATTTTTTGTTCAATTACATTCTACTGTCCTCACCTGTGTTCTCGTTCACTACGATATAAATATTGATAATTGAAGTGTCCCCATCACAAGATTATTTTGAATTATCCGCCATACTCCAGCTCAGCTACGATATCAACATACTATAATAGTATAAATTAGTCTTAATGAAGTGTATTTTTTTCAAAATGGAAATTATTAAACGTTAAGTAAACTAACCTTTGCAAATGTTGAGAAAAACAATTCTCCATCTAGATTTTTACGATTTTGTATACAAATCCTTCCGTATGTCTGAAATATATATATACGAAAGTACGTTCTGTGTAAATATCTAACAACTATCCTATAACCAATTTCGATTATAGTTAATTTTGGTTAAGCCATTTCATTAACTTACTCAACAGACGGTGTTATTTGAACAGTAACAATTCGCATATTTCTTTGTACTGTTATGATCACTAGAGCACATGATAGACACTAGCCAAAATGTTGATTGCTTAATTATCACTCGATGATCCATCCTCTTCCCCATGTATGTATTGTACTCAAGTCATATTATTAGCTTTTGCTTTACCTTGCTGCGATCTTATACAATTCGACTATAAATATGCCTATGTAATTGCTCGCATATACTTGTTCATCTCTTCGCTTCAAATTCGTTTGGTGTGCTTATAGCTTTGTGATTTGCGCTATACGCTAATAATAAACTGTAGTTGCCGGTTCTCATTGCCTTCTGATAATGGTTATTGAGTTGATTGATTAACGAAGCAAAACCACTACAAATATTAATTACTTGTAAATAAACTTTTATCGACACTATCTTTTTTCTAATCCATTATAAAAAGAACAACCGTTAAACAAATGAGGTGGATATTTAAAAAAAAAAAGTGATCCTCACAACAATTAAACTTAATATTATTAGGCTTAAATAATTTCATACTATCAGTTGAAAATTCATTCATTCATTCATAAAAACAATATGCCATTTCTTTTAAAATAATGAGTATTTTCTTTGAGTTTTGTTTTTTACAGTTAGTCATATTAATTAAGCTAATATCGAGGCATACGCACAGTATGCACATATGCCAATAACAAACTGATCAATTGCAGTCTTAAACCTCAGTGGGAAGATACAAGCCAAACAATACCAAGTGAAGTCATATTAATGTATCATATTTACTTGTCTTGTGAATTTATTCTATTAAAATAAGATAGAGAATGAAAAACAATTACTAGTTCTATACAAGAGCATTTAATCAACTGTGAACACATCGTTGTAAAGGAGTTTTTTTAAAAAGTAATCTACACGGTCAAAGGAATTGGATCGAAGCGAAGTCGAGAAAATATTAAATTAATCAGTTACTAACTGAGCTACCCTATTGATTAATTTAAAATGTGATCCATAATTTTTCAACTGAGTCCAGCGTAAATTCACTTGGTGTTGTTTTACTTGTATCTTCCCATTGTTATTTAGGACTGCAATTGATCAGTCTCTTGTTGGCATACGTTCATCCTGTGCGGATTACCTCGATATGGCCTTAAGTTACAAGCTTTTAAGCAAAGATGGATAGTGGCTAGCAGTAGAATCCAGGACGCCCGTTCCGTCCCATTTAAGACTCGTCAACTGGATGTACCTGCATCCCAGATTTGATGTTCACTCCGGTACTAGAACCAAATACTGTTCGCCTCAAACGCCATCGCGTTATCCACTACTGAGTTCAGTGTATTTAAAATGTATTTATTGCTTGTGAATATTGATGACGTTTGTAAAGTATGAATTTTAACAATTACAGGATTTAATAAATATGAATTTATCTGCTTTTACTTACTGTAAAGGATAACATAAGCCCATTAATATCGTTTGACAATGATCTCAAATTCTAGAATATAAATTTAGTGTAATAATAGCGAATGTGTATAAAATAGTTTAATTATTTAATTTTCAATCCTATGTCGTATCACGTTCAATTGCGCACTACTGAGGAGTCCCATACCAGGACGAAAGGGCTGTCCAGTGCTTCCAGGTTTTCCATGTTGGTCTAGCTTCAATTGACTCATGAATTTAACTACTAAATTACTATGTTATCCACAAAACACCTTTCTCATTATAATCCTTCTTATTTTTACACCAGTTATTCTTTCAATCAAATCGAAGTTAAAATAACGACATGTAAATATATTGGGGTAACCAAAATTTTTCCTAGTGAACAATGCGTTGAATAGTCCGCCTTGAAATAATTCAGTTATCTGGACAATATAATGAAGATGTATATCATGTCGAGATATTAAATATTACATTGTGTAAATAGAACAGGAAATATCAGTAGATAATTATATTTTCAAAGGGATCTTCATCAGGGCTTTTTCTAATATGCAGTAATATTGCGTATATATTTACGGAAAGTAATAAACTAATTAAGGTAGATTGTAAGTCAGCACCAGTCTTGATGTTCTTTGAGTTGTGGGAATTGCAGTGGTTCCTCATTTTACAACTGTAAGTAATAAACGATTCCGATATAATAATTAGCGACAACCAGAAATAACACTAACCGCTGTTATCACCATACTTAGGTATTATTAGTATTAATTAGTGTCACAATAACTATGGCTTATTTTATTTTAAATTACTTTTCAACTATGATTTTGATCTATTCATTAAAACTCCTAACCTTAATGTGTAATTTTTTAATCCATTCTAATTCACATGAAGATAGTTATTATCACTTTTGAGAAACGACGTATTCAGTCATGGATATTAGACGTATACACTATTATACTGTCTAGTGTTACACAGTAGATAATTTTCGTAACTGTTAAGTCTATATGGGTTATCGAAAACGATTGTTTACTCAAGTGATCCTTGTTTTTAAATATTCTTTTCGAGGACATTTCATTAACTAAATACTGCATGTGAAACAGTTTGAATACTGAATGTTAAGCAAAAGTAGTCGAATGAGCTAAGAAGCTGGTTCAAAGTTAATAACTGTAGACATCATAATACTCTTATATAGTAACATCTATAAGAAAAGAAAAGAATAAAGAACTGTTAACTTATTGGTTTGATGGAAGACAGTAGATGAGCTTCACATACAGCAACGACATGTCGGATAATCATATTAGTACGCAGTTTACAAAGGACTGTCCTTATGTTTTTTTAAACAATAGTAATATCTATTGTGGTATTCAATTACGAAAGAACCGGTTAATAGTTTATCAGTACGAAGAAAAATGCTATTTCACTTAAGCACTGATCTACAATATATGATAAAAAATCAGGCTTTCATAACTCTCCGATTCATGCTCTTTAACGAAAGTGGATGGAATATCTTGATTTCATGGATGCCCACTGTATAATGTATGAACGTTGACTTCTACAAGAGTTTGAAGCACTGAAGTTAATGGAAAGAATATGGATGGTTGGATCCACACTATGACTAAGTGGTTTACCAAGTATTTAAGTGTTCTTAGCAATATGTTCATATCCGTTGCGGATACCAGCCTTATGATAATAGAACGACGATTTATTCCTATGATGAGAACCTTCACTTCATCAGGGATTTGATCTGAAGTGAAAACAACAAACTTAGAATTTTCACGTTTAGTAGACCTCAGTCACAGTGTGGATGGCCTAAAATGGTTCGTCTGGAAACGCACATTTTTATGATATACAGAATTATAATGACATCACAAATGTCGCTTTGTGGAAAAAGGTCTGATTAAGTTTCTGTTGAGTCGGCTTTCCGAGAACTGCAACGGAGCCTCCAGAGACCTTAAAGGAGCCATAGAGTCCTAACCAATCAAAGCATGACTGCGCTTTCTAGAATATCGACTTGGCGTGCTACTATTGGTCAGTAGCATAATATGTCTTTTAGCGGATTGGCCAAAATCTGATGTTGATTTAATAAATGTTAACATCTATAAATACCCATGTTTTTCTGTACAAAAATGAACCTTTAGAGTAAAGTGCTTTTCGCTTATTTTGCGCCTTTTCTCTCGAGTTCAAGTCGCTGTGTAGTTCTAGCTTGCGGGTTACCAGAACAGCTTAGGAACCGAATAAGGCGTTCAAATTAACAAAACTTATCAGTTTCAAGCTTTGTACAGTTAACATAACATCATTAAAATCTTAAGTATAGTTGATCAGCCAACTCACAATGCAGCTGAATAAACATTAAACATGGATATTGAATCCATCGGAACTTGGTCTCTAAATTAAAATTCCACAATGTTACTGATGAAGGTGACCAGTAGCAGATATTTCTTGTGATATCACTATGTTTGAGTTACTACCTTTTATGATTCAAGTTTTATTATCTGAAATATATTGGCTGGTAATATATATTATATGAGAACTGGCTTTCATGCAATGACTTCATCTGAAACTGTTCTTATTTGTGGTTACTCACCCTTAGTTGAGTCTTATCGTCACCACCAGCTGACAGAAGTGGCTTTTTTAAAATCGGGAGTGAAGGATGTTAAGAATATTTGTAAAAGGATTTGAGCGCATAACAATTTATCTAGTTCTAACTAATACCATTTATTTTCTTCAAATGACTAGATCATGCTTGGAAAGGACCTTGGAAATTGGAGCTTGATGTACATGTCACTTTACAATTCGCCTCATTATTGGAATTTCCAAGGCTGCTGACAGCAATATTTCAGAATTCGTAAGAACAGCAGTTGATAAATTAGGTGAGGTAAACCTAAAATTGTTTTGCCTTGCTTCAAATTTCAACTAAATCCACCTATTTCTTGAATGATATCTCACACTTTGGTTGGTTAGGTATGCTATTGATACAAATTTTCAAATCTGTTGTTTATAATCTTTCTGAATAAGCCATTGGTTGACAAATCATCCAGAAATGATGTACAGATCACAAACGTAATATACCTTTGAATCTTATTTACACAAGACACATTAGCTACACAGATATCTTTTGTGAACACATCAATTATCGAAATTCATACTTCGACAGTTAACTTTTCATTTTGAATACTGAAAGCTATGCAAGGAAGTAGTTATTCTCCGATATAATGAACATTTAAAGGACAACTTACTTTTTTCCCAAGTACTCGGGAATTGTTTTGTTTTTGTAGACAACATATTTGTGATTTAAATGATTCTGGTTTATCTGTCTGATGGTCACTAGAAACTATAAAACAAATGTTTTATTTTTAACATTAGAATTGCGACTAAGTGTATAGATTACAATTTCAAAAACTACTAAACAGTATATTAGAAATTGTAGTTCTCTCCTGAATTCGTTTCATAACTTGAGTCATGCATTACATGACAGTTATAGTTGATTTGTATGCGCATGCGGAAAGTGTGAATGACATTAAAGTACTGCCAGCTATCATGATAGAATTTATCAAAATGAATTCCTACTAACGAGTTCATTTTTCAATGCTGCACAATTATATATATATACATACTTACTGCTAATAAGCTTTTTACTGTCTTACGGTTTATCGGAGAGCACAAATAATCAGTAAGTATTCTGTAGATTTATATAAATGTAAGTATTATATTATATCAAACCAAATGCACTGTACTCATAGTCCATTTGCCACATTTATTCAAGATTGTTTTTAATATCAGTGTGTAAATTAAACAGAGTGGATATATTTATATTCTCTTTCTAATCAACTGTGATGGTAGTTTAACCGTATGAGTTAAGATATATAATGTGTATTCTTCGTAGTACTTAAATCCAATCGATCAGCACGTTAACGGTAGATATGTTGTCATATTATTTTCACTCAGATTGCTTACTCATAAATAAGCGAAAACCGGTGATATGCAAATAACCTATCTGTTTCATTTATTCATATAGTATAGAAAACATAGATGATAAGATTAATTATGAACACTGAATTTCAACATTATTATAATTTAGATAAAAGGAACATGATGTCAAAGTCACCTGCAGATATAAGCTCACGTCCCATAATCCAACCGATAATCCCATATTTTTCAGACATAGAATATGACCCGTTGAAATATGGTGGATGTAGAAACCCAGTAGATATATGAATGTTATGATCTTTGTTCAATCCAGATATGTATGGCGTGAAACTGGAGACTTCTGGTCTATATATTTGTAAATAAAAAATATACCATTAATCTATTCCGTAAGACGTATAATTGATTAAATCTTAGGTAATGAATAAAAGAAAAGTGTACCGTTAAATTAATTTGGTTTACTATTCATTGATAATCTTATATTTGTCTTATATTTCATTCCGTTGGAGAGGTTTACTTAAGAGCCCCATATAGTTGAGATTTGAACTGCATAAGCCAGAAATGAAACTAGTAGACGGTTTTCAAAATGACATGATGCTTCAGAATTGATTGAAAGCGAAAAAATAAGAGCACATGATCACCATTAACTGATCTTTGAATAATAATCAGTATTATTGATATTCACCCCTATTGCTGATCAAATTTACTTGATCAACTGATCAACCCATTAATTAAAAGTTGTTAATATTGCGATGTATTTTGGTTTGATGTTAAGTAATTTTTGAAGAATTGAACGAAAAGCTCTGTGAGTCTTCTACTTTCTATACAAATATTCGAGGTCGGTTGCATTCTTGAAAAACTATAGTTTGGAAAGACATCAAAAATACACTGTTGAACATATTTCAATTGATTTAGATCTCAGATTTAAAAACAGTATACATAATCTAAATGTGTATCATATTCTGAACAAAAATATCAGATGTATAGAATGAAGTAGTTCAAATCAGTTGATAAACACTACAATACTGACCTACTGTGATACTTAGAGGTCACTTCACTGAGTGCGCGCGAACACTTAACCTACTAGACCAATGAGCTACGAGACTGAAGGCCCCGGGTTCGAATCCCGTGAGCGGGGTCGTGGATACGCACTGCTGAGGAGTCCCGTGCTAGGGCGAAACGGCCGTCCAGTGCTTCCAGGTTTTCAACGGTGGTCTAACATCATCCTGTTCAAGATCTCAATCGATAAATTAATAATCTACACAACCCTATACTGATATATAAATTTGTTTAGTGAAAATTTAAAGTCAATAAACATTTAGCATTTTTGTATTTGGGGTAAAATTAAAAAAAGACGTGATAAAATCATTATATTCTATAAACGTCATTGATTTATTAAATTCTGTGAAGAAAACTATACTACTGAAATTTATTCGAAATACTTCCTACACTTTTATTTCAATCCATTATAAAACGAAATAAGGTTACATTACCAATTATAATCCAATGATCATTTACAAATATAAGACAGAATAACGATTCGAACAATGAACACTACGATTTGTAGTGAATATGAATTCATTAAAATTGTAATCAGTCTTAACAAAACAAAAATAAAGGCAATTAAAATAGGGTATCCAAACTATGGAGAGTTTAATCACTGTCATCAGTAAACACTGATGTCAGATTATTTTTTTCTATTTCTAACAATCTAGGCCAAAATTCACGTTTTTAAACTACACTATTTTATGAATACAATTTTATTACAGGGAAGGGTGGATAGAGTCAACTTCGTGTAGATTTCCAGCAATAAGTTAAGTTCAACAAATATAGACAAGTGTTTCTGCTTTGCTTATGTGTCTTTTTAACCTTTTAAGCGTACATCAATAAATCTAATTACAGTTTACATACAATGAGGACCTATCGGTCTGTTGTGAGATAGTAACTCACTGAAGACAATGGTGGACGGTGGCGCAGTTTCGTGGGTTGGTTGAAGTTAAACATTAACACTGTTGAATGCCGGTCGGCTCAGTGGTCTAGAGGTAAAGCGTTCACGCGTGATACGGGGGGTCTTGAGTTCGAGTCCCTTTGGTACGGGATTGCGGATGCAAACTGCTGAGGAGTCTCATACTAGGATAAAACGGTCGTCTGGTGCTTCCACGTTTTCCATGGTGGTCTAGATTTAATTGGTTCACGAATTCAACTATTTAATTTTTGCTTAGAATACAATTGGTTTCAAATCGCAATATATTAAATAAAATTAGTTCTATAAAGATATATTGGATTTTATTTATGTACTCAGAAATATAAAAGATGAATACTTAAAAAGTACAACGTACTTATCGTATTTACCCAAATTTGCGCCAAATGATTTGAGGAGTTTAGTCTTCCGAGAATAATATTCATTCATAAAGTAATTATTTTCTAGAATTTTATTCTAGAACAGAAACAGGGATTTTTAAAAACATTTATATGTTTGCAAGTTGAATAATCAAATGGAAACATAAAAAAACTTTTCCGTCGAATTGTTTGAAACTACGAACTCCATTCCTACAGATGCCGAAGTCAATTAACAGACAGATGACAACTAATCGTCTACTGAAATGCATTTTTAGTAGTCGTAATTACGAAATACTGATGTCTGAACTACAGTGCATAACAAACGATGCGTATGAAGAAGATATTCTTGCTTAAAGTGTAAACGGGTTTTGTTTATTATAACACGCTGTGGCACTGCACCGGATAAACAATCACCTTAAAATTATGTCTGAGATGATTAATAAACGAAGTATGTCAAACGCTTAGTAATAAATTTTAGGAGTTAGAAGTACATATGAAATCTATTCGACTAGTTTATGCCAGTAGCAATGATGAGGGTAGATTTCCGAAATTTTATGCAGCGAAAATTCAAGCTGACGTTATAATGTCAGGATCAACTAACGAGATAGTGTGGAGGAATGACACAAAATGGTGCAAATCATAAACTTGTCAGTCATCTAGAGATCGTTCTGCGTAAAGATCAGAGATCGTAAGTGTACTACGTAGACTAGTTGAATTTAAGTTAGCTTGTTTTATTACTGTATAACTTGATTTACCTAAGGTTCTGACAGCTGTTCAGAACAAGTAGGATACATTGAAATAATTCGATTGAATTATTACTTACGCAGAGAAATAGGTTTCCACTCTTAAACAGTGGTAAGATCAAATGAAATTTCTCCTAAACCCTTCATTTATTTTCCATTAAATACTTAAAATCCAAATGCAATTCACGAAATCGACTAATAAAGTAGTATGAAAGCGACACAAATGGAGTAACGTAAACCGTATAAAACATTAAATCTCTAGTGATTGATCTATAAGAAGGCTAAAAGTTTCACTTGTGAAACAGTTTTCATTTCAAGGATCTACCTCAAATTTAGGACAATATTTTTCATTCAATGATTCATACAAGTTAAGGTTTTGATAATTGTTTAGAACACATCCTTTAACATTTTCACCATAAATCGTCTGTCAATCGATTTGTAAAGAATATGATATTCTTCTCTTTACTATTTTTTTTCAAATTTTAGTTTCATTTGTTTACCGATAACTCTTATTAGTATTTGAAGTACATTAATTTTGTATAGACAACAAAGAATAATATTTTTCAGGCATCTAATCTGATTGGTTTATTTCATTAAATCAAACGTCGTTAAAGCTAACTACTGAATCGCTATCCACTAGTTAAGTTGTCGTTTTCATATGGGATTGGAAACGTCACTGAACTATATGCTGAATTTCACTAAATTAATAATAATTTACTAGAGTTTAAGCGTTCGCGCACGCCAGACCAATTGTCTTGGGTTCGATTACCGCATGGGTGATCGCGGATGCTCTCCGTTGAGGAGTCCAATACTAGGACGAAACGACCGTCTAATGCTTCCAGGTTTCCAATGGTGGTCTAGATTGGATAGACTCATAAATTCAACCATTAAGATTTACTGTTAGTTGAGTTACTGCAAACAAACCAGCTTAATTAAAAATGAAAAATATTATTGTATAAGAAGAAAATCGTTTCTGTGAGCTGGACATTTGTGAATAAAGAAGTGACATCTAACGATATCATTTTCTTCCTTGATGCACTGACGTTTGTTATTGGGTTGATGAGATCGAAGGAGTCTGAAATGGGTCAGTGATACTTCATTTCTACGATCGGCGAAAAGTAAACAAAACAAATATCTCGCTACGCCCGATTGTAATAATCCGCGGAACCATAACATCTAATTTTTCAGGAGAAATTTCAAGAATATTTAGTAGATTCATTTAATCACTTCATCAAATCTTTCATGCAATTCTTGAATAAGGTTAAAGAGATTCAAATCAATTGCAACGAATCGATGATATCCTTCAATGTAACAGCATTAACCACTTCAGTCTAATAAATCTTAGGAAAGAAAATTCTATCCTCGCTCCTCGGCGATTAAACAAACCTCAAAAAGTACACGGATCTTCAATCAAGGTTTGCTAGGACTCATCGATTTATGCTCAACAACATACTCTCAACTTAACAATAAAACCTGATGACAAATAAAGGGAACATCAATGGGATCACCCATGTCAGGACTTATTGTAGAAGCTGTGATGTAGAGACTGGAAGCCTCGATCTTACCAGTCGTCAAGCCGAAAATGGGGATTTGTTATATGGACGACACATTCGTCATCGTCAAAAAGGACGAGCTGGAAAATACCAACAATTTTATCAACAACGTCTTCGATTACATAAAGTTCACAATGAAACAGACGTCAAAAACAAACTTCCATTCTTGGGTGTACTGATCACTAGGACCGACTCAGTAAAACTTCAGACTCACGTATATCGGAAGCTGATCTACACAAATCGAATCCTTAATCAGAGCAGCAACATTCCAAGAACTCACAAATAAACTGCGTACAAACTTTATTTAAGAGGGAGAGAACACACTGCAACACACTTGCAGAGTGGAAAAATGAAGGAAAATATCTAAAGACCATCTTTCAAATGAACAACTACCAAACCAATCGCATCAAAGAATATTAACTGAACGCATCAGCAGAAACGAAATCAAGTACAGAAACCAACAAACGGATCCTTCTACCATATATAAAAAAATTACGAAGACATTATTATAACCGTTTGGAACAGGTGTAGCACGCAAACCAGTGAAGTCACTTCAATCAATCTTATGCAAACCAAAGGACAAAATGACAAAAGAAGAAGAGACGAAAGTCATCTACAAAATAAATTGTTCCAACTGAGGAAACACTATATCCAGAAAAGTGGATGCTCTCTTCATCTTCGCCTGCACGAGCACCGATCAGCGGTGAAACACCACGATATATTTTCGCTTATATCAATGTATGTAGAAAACTGTAGACACATATCAGACCGGAAAAATATTGAGATCTTGGATAGAGGGAATACGAAAAGCACCAGAGAATTTTTAGAAGCTTGGGACTCTGGTCAATCAGCAATCAACAAATACATTGAAATCGATCCAGTCTATCATTCATTCAGAAAGATCATGGACAAATATAGGACTGAAAATCAACTCAATGGAAGATAAAATCAAAATAAAGAAGTAGACAAAGACAGGTTAAAAGTCAACAATAAGCAATCAAGATCGAGGTTGACAGGACAAGCTATGGGTCATATATGGAGAAATTCAAACACTTCACTTCTACCTGAAGTTTGTGCTGATGAGGTTGTTCAGAGGAACAATGAAAGCTCCACGACTGAACTATCCAGCTCAGAAAACAAAACTCCACGAAAAATATCCCTCTGAGCTACAAATCTTCCTTAGCATCTCAGTAACATAAATAAAATCATGAAATAATTGGATGTACACAGAAAGTCTCTTTACACACTTTTGGTAAATAATTTAGACACGGAATCTTGTTCACCTTTAATTAGAAAATAATAATAATAATCAATGGGAATACATTGGTTTTAAAACTCACATTGAATATAAAATCTTCGCTCTCTCTCTTTTTCACATTCAATGATTCCGATGAAATTATTGATAAACTAATATTTTTAACCTGAACAATATAATGGATTATTAATAATGCAATCGATTGTAATTGAACAAACCTGATCAATAGTGCCTTTTTTGTTTTCATTGAACCATGAACTCGATGATAATAATTGAATCAAAGTGATCTTTAATTCATCAAATATTTTAAGTACCTATACATTGTAAACAAATACACTGATTATAAACAAAATAACTACATAAACGGTAGAAATTATGGATAATTGTTCAGATGTTATATATGTATATATATACATATCCCCAGCAATCACTTGATAAACGTCATATTTTCGTGATTTTATTTTGGAAATCTGAATTTCTCGTTTTCGCGCCAAAAGTGCCTATTTTCACCTTCAGATTGTATTTTCCACTTAAGGGGACCCTAAATGTCATTGGTTCGTCCCTTCTTTTAATATGCTTTTTTTGTGACGTTTCTCAAGGACATTTTTATGCTATATACATACGCGTGAGTTGAGTGCTTGTTGTTGTTCGTGCTTCTGGGTACTTGTGAAATATACCTTCCCTTCATCTGAACCGGGTCTTCTCGCTCTAGTTAGCAGGGCTTGGATGTATCTGAATGATTTAGCTTGTCTTGTCGTTGTGTCGTTGATTCTTCGTTCCTTTCGTCGGTTTTAGGTGATCTCATTATCTCTTCAAACATAGCATTATATAGTGAGATGAATCAATGAATTGGTTGAATTTACAATCAGTATTAGTCTCGTAATATTTATCAATTAAATCAAATTTTCGTTACAAGCTGATTTCGATTATATGTAAGATTTTAAGATTGTACTACTTAACGTAATGTTTTATTGTGAATAATATTTTACCGAGTTTTAAACTTGCCTCGTTTTTTTTACTTTCACTTATAGTAGAATATTCGTGATGTCGTTCTATTGTCCATGGGAAATTTTCTTTCACCTCATCAATACAAATTGTCGGCGTTTTTTCTAATAATTTTGCTGATATCCATCAGTATTTTGTTATGTAAATAAATGAAAAAAATTTGGACAGTAACATAATTCTTATGCTGCCCTTAATCAAAAAGAAAAAAAAACTAAGGGAACTTTTTTGGCGGTAATCCTACACAATGATTCTTATCTCAGTATTATTTAAATTTATGTACGTTAGTCAACCTGGTGAGGATTAATTAACCGTGCCTTTAGCATGAATTAGTAATATTTGTTTTGTCAGTTCTATTATTTTCTTAAATCTACAGTTTAACCAAATATATTTTAGTGTTTATATTCGCCGTAGATTTTTTTTGTTTTAAAACTTGTAGTGAAGATATTCCAGTCAACTTGGACAAAATCAAAAATCAATGATATTGCTGTAGGTGACAATGTTACTTACGGTTATCAAAGAAATAAAACTCTTTGAAATATTGATTTAAGGTACTTCTCATGTTGTATAAGAAATTTATCACTATCATAGTATGTAGAATTCTAGAAAAAAAATATAATCAAACAATAAACGGATATTTGATTGTTAAATAATCTAAATAAAATCATGATTATATATGATCTGACAATAATTCAAAAGAATTTTATTTTAAATTTAAAATATTACTGTAGTATGTGCTACTGATGTCGACAGATATAAGTAATATGTATCGCCAATTGAAAGTGAAATGTCTGGAAGTGGAAGGTTAAGAAGGTTGAAGAGAAAAGAACGAAAACAAACAGTGATTGATATAGAAATGAAGGAACAGTGAAGTCTGAGGCGATTGATTGACATTTACAAAGGGAACAATCATTTCTGAGACAATTGGTTGACATTTTGCACATGAATTATTTATTGTATGGTTTACAGATTTTACCAAGATATTCTGTAATGTCGTATTAAAATATATTTGATTGTCCTGCCTATTTTCTCAGTCACTACAGTACAAGTTCGTAAACGTACAATAAATTGAAAAGTGTATATATTTATATTGATTACTTGGGGATCGGGTAGAATAGACAGAATAACTGTTATTCATGTGTTTTGTTCTCCATGAATTGTATTCAATTACTTGAATTTGTTTATTCTATTATTAATCTGACTTTTAGTCTTGCATATTTTCCTATTAATTTAATTTCACAGATTGAAATCATGAGTCAATTGAAGCTTGACCACCATTGAAAACCTGGAAGCACTGGACGGCCGTTTCGTCCTAGTATGGGACTCCTCATGATTTCAATCTGTGAAATTTCTAAAATCTCCACAAAATCCATTCTGATATTAATTTAATGTTTAATTTTGACTTATTTACAATTGTTTACTAAACACTGTAATTTCTGAGTATTTGTAACATGATTTGCTAAGAAATGAGTTATTTAACTTTTTTTTACCATTTCTGTTAATTTGTATACAACTATTGATCAAGGAAATTTCAACTAGTTCGTCTACTAATTACTCATTCTCTTGACACAATTCTTTTCATCCTGACAAGTATTTAAAGAATGTTTTGAATAGTGAGCAAACTTTTCATTTAGATAGTAATATATTTTCAGGATGGGAGTTTGTGAAGATTGTATTAATTTAATATTTGAATTCATAAGTCGATTTAAGCTAGACCACCATGGAAAACTTTGGAACACTGGGCGGCCGTTTTGTCCTAGCATGGGACTTCTTCAAGATATATTTCCTGGAGTCTTAGTGAGAAGTCGTGACCAGTGAAGTTCAACTGTGTCTGTTGTGAGGCAGTTACTTATTGAAGAAAATTATGGACGATCGCGCTATATCTTGTGTTGGTTGAAGTTAGAGATTAACACAGTTGGATGCCGGCCGGCTCAGTATTCTAGGGGTTAAGCGTTTGCGCGCGACACCAAAGGTCTTGGGTTCGAGTCCCCTTAATACAGAACGAAACGGCTGTCCGGTTCTTCCAGGTTTCCCATGGTGGTCTAGCTTAAATCGACTCATGAATTGAACTGTTAAATATATTTTCAATTCATAATAATTGAAGTGGAATGAAAACCTTGTCTAGCTAATCATGACATTTGTTCTAATAAAACTTGATTCTTCTCATTTGTACACAAAAGTCTATAACAAATACACATTATATATATATATATATATATATATATATATATATATATATATATATATATATATATACTGCCGGCTGATTGGGAAAATGAAGAAATTCACTAGTTTCAACAAGGACTGATTCCTAAGTTTATCTAAATTTAAAAGGCTAACTAGCCAAGTTCTGTGTTGCTTGAATATGGTTTTCAGTAATAAGGAATACCATTTGAAAAAGTAACTGCGATTGATTAGGATTGTACAATTATTTTGTTGTGCTTTTGTGACAAATCAGCATCGCGATTTTATACCTTCGAAAGAATCAGTCTACAGTTCAGTATATACAACCACCACACTATCGTTGTTAGTCCAAATAGAAATAAATGTGTAGAACTCATCTGTTTTACATTCATGACAAATGCTTTTGAATATCATGTTCGTTACTCAAAATAAAGACGCGATTTGACAAGCTTTTATAGCAACAACTTGTTACTGGAAGCATAACATTCAGTTTTGAGAAAAAATACCTTTTACTACTTGTTGTATTCATAGCCAACCTGTGTATATCACAAACATTCTTCAAGGAGTTTGGATGATAGACGATAATTTTCATATTCTTGTATGATTCATACTTGATTTCATGGAATACACTTTCAAATAAAAAATTCCAATCGATCTGATCAAAATAAATAATAATTTGAAATATATTTACAAAGACAACAAATGGGTTATGTTACAAAATGGATTTTCAACACATGATCAGTGTCACTCAGCTAATTCTGACCAGTGATTATCATGTATTTTATTATCTACAATAAACTTAAATAATACTGTACTATTCTTGTTGACAGCATTTTCACTAAAAGATCATTCTGTTTGGAGTTTGAGCCTTATGATTTTTAATCATAGTAATTTTGAAAGGTGTTGACTTCAGTCAAACTGGCGAGTTATTTTTTTTTACAATAAACTAATCATTCATTAGCTTGGTAGTTGTGATTGATAAACAATTATTATTGTGCTTCTTATTTAACTTGTAATGGTGTATTATAGAGAAATATATGATTGAAAAAGTTCAAGTGTTAGTTTCATGATTTCTAACTGTAACAGAAAAACGTGATGAGAACAATAAATTGCGTTTGCCTTTCTTAGTCATAAAGTATTTCTTTCTGGATTCTGAGTATACATTTATTCTGATCTTTTTTTAAGTATGAAGTAAATGGTTTGAATATTTCTTTTTGGTCAACTCAACTCTCAAACTGTTTCAGATCTGAATAATGTCTAGGATGAAGATTTTATGTCTTTTAAAAGTAGAGATATTTCGATCACCTATATTTGACACTGTTATAAGTAGTTTATTCTTAATAAAACATGATTTTATTACGGAATAGTTGGATAAAGCATTACAGAGCTTTCTTGTTATGGTAGGAAACATTCAGTTAGAATTCAATAATAATGAAATTATTCTTTATTATTCGAATGTAAACTTCTGTAACAGAGATCTCATGTTCCATAATTTATAACTAAATGTATGACATCACACTATACATACAATTTCACATGTTATGATAACCGATAAGAATTATGTAAAATTGTTATACTAGGAAAATTGAAATAATGATATGATAGGTAATAATAATGATTGTAGCTCGGTAACACTAAAGGTCATAGTAAAACTGATTTCAATTAACTTTAACAGTAAGTTAGTGAACGGATGAATCTCTTCCTTAGTTTTATAAAATGGAGAATGCTAGTGGGCGGCCTATACTCCTCCACGAAGGATAACAGACATGAGTGGTAGTGTATTGAACAGAACACGGGTGGGGACGATCGAATGTATTAAGCACAAAATTACAGAGTTACTTGATAAAATAGAAAATCCATACTATAATACTTAATTTACAAAATGTTCAATAATTGTCTTGAACCTCATTGTTCTTGCATTTCCATACTGATTGCTTTCTATTCCCGCTCTTCCTTTCTTAATCTTCCCCCATCTTCTGCTGCCAGATATTACATTATTGACTCGCGTCATATACTACTTATATCAATAAAAGTAGCACGCACCACAGTGGTAGGTTTATAAGATAGGGAATATAAGAAGATCAACTATCTAATGATTAATGTATCAGTAATATTTCTACAGTAAGTG